CATCAAGAAACAGAATACTTGTTGCCCACACAACACAAAATTCCCATTGGTCGAAATCATTGTCCCTATCAGTCAAATCTGATACGTAGTAATTATGCCATAAATAATCTCCAGACTGAATGTTGATTTTATAACTTAACAAGACAGGCTTGAATGCACGGTTATTATTCGATAGATTTGATTGGATATAAAAGCGGGTGTATTTCATTTCTTCATGTGTTGTCGGCAGTCTCGCCTTCCCCCTAGCGCACCAGGGAAAATAAACGCGCGAAAAAGAGCGACCGCTTGCCCTCTATAGTCTATTGTCTAAAGGTTAGGAAGTTTTTTCATGCAATTTCGTATTTTATGTCAGTATAGTGTATAAAATACGCACAGTCTCGTTCATATATTCTCGCTCTGCTTTTCTGAACAACGTGCAAACTAGAACTACCCAGTACCCATAATATCCCCCAAGGATCATTAATGTCCTCGGTGTTCCTGCCGTTACTACTTACGTCACAGGACACTATATCCCTCCTTTTACCTGGAGTTAGTGTCAATGCACTTGTCTAATATTTACGAAACACAGGCCTACTCTAGGATCCAAGATTGCCGCGATTAATTGCGATATTAGGCATATTAGGGAAAAAATGACAAGATTCAAGGCGATCTTAGGCGATCTTGAGCGATTTTAGGCGATCTTAGGCGATATTGGGCGATATTATGCGATCTTAAGGTATTGGGATTATACTATAATAGTTAAATAATACCAGACCTCTCAACTCTTACGCATTCGGCGTGAATCTCACGCAATTCGCTTCACTCTCACGCTCTCACGCCACGTTTAGTAACTCTCACGCATATAGCACTTTCATAGTATTTTTTAAATAATATAATATTGTGTTCTTAAATGCAGATTATGAATTATTATTCGGATCGCAAATCGAATATATAATCGCGTGTTATTCATGTTCCTGCATATACGGCCCGACATTTTGCTCGCAATTTGGATACAAAATAGTACGCATATGTAAATACGGCGGACAAAAGGCAGAATCAGTCGGAGCAGAATTCTATATGTAAATTATCAAAGGCAAATTAAAGCTCATTAATACTGTATGTCGCAGAAATACAGTTATTGTACTGTAACTAAAGTGCCTTGTCTTAAAGGACGTTATGACTTATGAGGCAATGTATTTCATTAAAAAACACCAACTCTCATAATGTACGAAATGCCATTTCAGACCCCCGGACTTTTACAAAGGTGTCATCCACATCCCCAATCTCACTCTTAACTTCTCTGCAAAGTTGAGAGGTCTGTAATACATTTGAAGCAAAATAATGTATATACAAAAAATGTTGTCATTTAGAGCACAATGGGCTATTCCAATTATTATCCGCACCCCCTGTTGAGGAACCCCTTTCTCATGTCGGTACTCCCTGGAATTTCCGCAAATTTTCATGTAAAATTTACCCCTTCCCATGGAATTTCCTTGGAAAAATTACCCTTGCCCATGGAATTTCCATTTTAAATTAGGCCTACCCCATGGTTCCATTTAAAATTTGGCCCTGTCCATGGAATTTCCATGTATAAATTACCTTTCCCTATCGAATTTCCATCATGGGATATTTACTCCCGGAAATTTCCCTCTAACATATGTCCTCCAATGGAATTTCCATCCCATGAAATTTACCCCTCCGTCTGGAAATTCCATGTGAGAATTACTCTTCCCCTTGGAATTCCAGATCCTGATGCCCCCTTCCCTGGAAATTCCAGGGTTAATGTACCCCCTCCCCTGGAAATATAAAGTTAATGACCTCTACCCTGGAAATTCCAAGGTTAATGCACACCCTACCCTAGAAATTCGAAGGTTCCTCAACAGGGGGGTGCGGATAATAATTGAAATTATTCTGGGATTTTACAGCTAAGCAGTCATTATCAATCAGACACTTTCTAGCACCAATACCTTGGAGACAGACATTTATATAATTAATTAATTAAGATATTATATGTCTATATAAACAACACCTTACATATTTACCTTGTTTATTAGTTAATTCAATCCTGAATCTTTGATAACACATATTTTATATAAACAGCCTTCAATATAAATCATTCCTTCATGATCGAGGCTCGTTGAGCCAGATATAAACAGCATTGTTTCTACAATTCGACGTTGTTTATCGAACAATGTTGCGTCACCAGATCAATTTTTACCTATGTACCGTACGTTACACAAAGTACGATTACAATGCGATTGTAAGCAAAAAAACAAAGTCCAAAGATTTACATCTTGAAAAGTTCATATTATTATATAAAACTACAAGACACGTGAAGTTGCGTCAGTTGTGAATTTACATTTTATTACAATACTTCATGTATGCCTATTATAATGTCCTTAGGAAGGGTAGATTGGCGGGGGGGCGTAATTAGAATAAGTACTAGGGGGAAACTTGTGCATATAATTGTGCATATAATAGTGGGAAACTTGTGCATATAATTTAATTTTGCAGACGTAACGCTGGCGCTATATTTTACAAATTTCCGCAGGCCCTCGCTAGATTGTGCGTGACCTTCCCATGGTGCAGCGAGAGCAGCCTTGGTACGATCAATGCTGATGTTAAAAATGAAGTATTGCAATACGCATTGTCGCATCGCTTGCTCAAATTTAATAATCACCGCTAATAAAAGTCTATTACATGTATTAAAGATGTCTCATGTGTTCAATATTGTCCTCCGTTATAAAGATGTCATGCAAAGAGATATCGTGATTGAACCATCTGTAATGTAAGGTATATACACGTATTAAAAAAGATTTTCTTTGTTAATTATATTTGAAGGGGTTGGTCAAGTTTGTACTGTATGTAAACAAAGGGTTCGTTTACATTTTGAAGATTCTATATAAATTTATGCATGCTAATTAATTTTCATGCAATGTATCCGCTATTTGGTAAAAATTTAATCATATAATTAGATGTGAAACTAGTCCTATCCAACATTCATAACATGGTGTCACAATAGCTATAATGCAGATGTATCCGGTACTGTAAGTCAAAGTGAAAGCAATGCAATTCTAGCCAAACTAGGGTATATTATGGGGTATGTAATCAAAATTATCTAAAACAATGTATCCTATAAAGAAAGTTTTAAATGATCAAAGAACTTATACGAGGGTCTGAATGGGGGGGTCTGGGTGTCAGTTGTCAGCTAAAATTTTCGTCTTTTGTCAGTTGTCAGCTAGAATTCAAGCCTGGCCGTTAAACGATATTGGATAATTAGTTAGCCGCATTATTCGACACAATGCATGTGCAATACGACTAAAATATGCTTTTCGGCCTTCGCTGCAAGTAAAAATACATACATTTGACAATTAGACAACAAAGCAAGAATTTTCTGAGCAGAGAAAGAAGTTGTAAGAACACATCACGAGTTAGCTTTGAAAATTTTCCATGCAGGTGGTAGTCATGGTACTCCAAGTCCTCTAACACCTGTCCACTACTGCTCTAGTGAATTAGTAAAGGACAGTAAAGGCGAGTAAACACTAACCGCTTGATTAAGCGCTATCTTAATACAAATCATACAAAGAAAATAATGAAATACTTCTTACTTGTTTCACAGATCTAGGCGCAGAGTCGCCTTTACAGCTCGCCCGGAACGCGTGACAGAAACTGGATTCGCTGGAAGCTTGCTAAACTCGTCAGGCTCAGTCGCTGTGTCATCTTCGGAGTCTGCCTCATACTCGTCAACTTGCTCTGTTAGCTCAGCCTCAATCACGTCCACAGTGGCCTCATCAACAAAAGTTATATTTGTTGACGGTTGGTCAGTCCGAAATTGAATGTTTGACGACTGTGGGTCATGCACTTCAGTTCAACTTTCTGTACACAGCTGGTGGCAACGCACCTGCCTTGTCCTTTGTAGTCCCCCTGCGAACTGTTCTTTGTCGAACTGCCGAACTGGACGATAACTCTCTAGCCAATGTTTGATGATTTCTTCCGTTTTACGAGGAATTTTGTTTGGCGGAAGGGGTGTCATAACCTTTGTGGCCCAAAGAGGCATAACTGATTCCGGCACTGGATAATACGACTTGTCGTGTGTGTAGTATTTAGCCGCCCATGTTGTTGTTCTTTTGAGTGACTCCTTTACAATTGTGCCGAAGTCCTGGGCATATTGAAGAACACTAAATGTTTCATGTTTAAAATGTGAGACAGCGTGTAGGTTTTCCACTTGAGTCGTCAGAAGGGATTGAAGCGAGATGTTGTCGACAAAGTGGGAATTAATTCCCTCGATGTTCTTGCTCAATCTGCAGATTCCCTCGTTGAGCAACGCCGAAGATGTTTGAGTCTGGTGGGAAATTGTGCCTTCTGGGCCATTGGTTGTTGACGATTCTTTCAGGTTGTAGCGCTGCTTTACTTTGGTAACAGTATCTCGCATATACCTTTCTACTTCTTTCACTTTTTCTCTTGCACTCTGAAGTGAAACTTCATTCACGTTCCCACCAGGTACACATTTCGGGTGAATTTCAAAAGCATCGTAAAAGCTACCAAGCATTTGAAGAAATGTTATAGTACTGGAAAGGCCAGTTACTAATTTGACTTTTCCAGCAGAAACATCGGTTACAAACAGTGTGTTCTCCATATTACATATTCCTTGAACTTGCTCAAATGAACAGCTTGACTGCGTACCATCCCGAGACTTTGTCTCACCACTTCCCAAGAAGACAGATGCCGAGCTATCAACTTGGTGGTACTGTTTAACTTGTCCAGCTTTCGTGTCGGTAAACACAACAGTACCTAAAAAGCCATTAATTAAAATCGTGCTGTAAATAACAGTCATAACAGAAAATAGCAGTATAATCCAGTATGTTATGACTGTTATATAGCTGTGCTATATTAACAATTAATTACTAACAATTCTTTAAAAATCTTTACCAGTCTTACCATTAAAAGCACATATTCTGTTTACTTCTGTGGGGAAATTGACATCTGAAGAGTTGTCAAAAACCTTTTCCACTACCTGTGTACTAAACTTGCATCGATACAAGCCTCCATCGCATGACGCTGCCGAGAAATACGCACAATTGTCTAAAGACAAAACTGACTGTGTGTTATTAACACCGTTCGGATAAGAAACCAATTTGACAGGATAGCCACGGATTGTCACTCCATCAAATTCTAAAGTAATTTGAAAAATAACTCTCTTGGAATCGTCGCCACACAATAGGAAAACGTCACTGACAGCGCATATTGCTGATGGCTTTGATAACACTTCACAACCTTGTACATGATCTAAATAATCCGTGTCTTTAGATATACCTTCTATGTAATCTTGCAACCTCTTTCGTAGAACTGGGATTGTCCCATTAGTGTCGAGATTGAACCGCTCCAAATGGCTCACCAAGTCAACACGTCGTTTCAATAAAGTTGGTTTTATTTCAACGCATCCTGACAAATCGACAAATGAGAGCCGACGCGCCTCTTTCAGCAATGAACACAATCCATTTTCTGTAGCAAAGGTCCCTAGCATCTTTCAAATTCTCCTTTTTCACAGAAACATCAACCGGTTGGTGTAGCCGTGCTGTGAGGAGTTTAGCGGTGCAAGATTTAAAGTCATAGTCGATAATCAAGAACGAACGTTGCGGGCCTGGACATACTGCTATTGGTCGTGGACATCCTCCAGCTAAGTTGGTTTTCCAATATCTGTACTTTTCAGGAACAACCGTGTGAACTACTGTTTTCACCTGCTCCAGTACTTTCAAAACATTCGGCCGTGCGATTCTAACGATGGGTTCCACTGCCATCCTGTCCTTATTCCTTACGCATTCGAGAGTGAGAAGTTTCCTCAGCTCCTTTCTAATACTCGGATCAGCGTCGTCTCGCAACGTGCGAACCAGAACCAGATTACTACATTCACCGTCCAGGTCAATAAACCAATTGGACCAGCTACATCTAATGCTTTTACCTAGATGGACAACGTCAGGTAGAGGGACAACGAGATCTAATTCGGGATGTAAACTTTCATTTTTGGCCAATTCGTTAATCTGAATAAGTGCTTTCTTACTGCACGACTCACAATCAGTGGAAACTGCCACGACAGCTAGTTTATTGCAAGTTTTCCCATTTGCTAAACAAGCATCACAAGATCTAAGTGAGGTATGATGTGAGACCTGGCCCTTGTCGCTGCACTCAAAGCACACAGATTTTGAAGACAAGCATTCTTCACATTTACTACTGCGGGTTGACATTTCACTTGTTACGATGTGTTGGTTGCTTTGCTGAAGTTCTAAGCACCTTTCGCAAGTCTGAATGGTCTTAATTTCATTTTCCATACTTGAAAAGATATCTTCTCCAGAAACACACTTGGGGCGATAATGAACAGCTAGTGGCATTGTAGCATTGTTGTCGAGAGAAATTGCACATGTAACGTCTGCACATGTAATAAGTTTATTCTTAATTTCTTCAGGATCTGGAACAGGATGCTGTTTGACATAGGATGCATCAACTTTGTGTGTCAGACCAACAACAGCTTTTTGCCATTGATCGTATTCTAAACCAGGTTTCAGCGCCGTACCATCACTTGCTAAAACCACGGAAATCACTTGGACTGTATCTGTCTCAATGATCTTGTTTACCTTTGCTTTGGGGTGTTGGGAGAAGGCATGCAATGATTGCAAGTGTGGCTTTATTACTCTACTTTCCGTAGTATACCCGGCGTGACACCTTTTTAATGCATTTGCAGAAGGACCACACAAGTTGAAATCAGAAAACGATTCAAACTTCTTTAACGCTCCTTTTCCAGTGCTCAAAAACCCAGGTCCCCTGATAAACTTCCTTGTCCGTTCTCCTCCAAGGTATTTGATAGTATAGAAAAATTCAACAACTTCGTCGTCCCATTTAAAGTTAGAAGCTGATGTAGGATCAATCATCGCGAATGTCGTGGTATCATTTATAAACTTGTAGTAAATGCAGTTTTCTGGTATCTTTCCTTCTTGAAGAAGTTTGTTCAGCTTGACAGCAATGGGGTGAGCATCTTCGATGGAGTTAAAATGGAAGGTCATGGAAATGAATAAACTTAACCACATTTATTATAAGTATGTTACTGATTGGATGGTTTGTGTAATGTGTTTGTTGTTTCTCTTTCAGACTCTTTGTTCCCTGAACCAACGTACCTGCGGGTCCTTGTTACATGGTTGGTGTTTTAAAGTATTGAACAAATTCTTGAACTTCTATACTCACATATTGCACGAAATTAAGCATTCATTATCTTTAGCATCATTTTCGCTTTCAGGACTTTCAGTATCATCATCAGTTTTATCTGAGATATCTGATCGTTCTACATCCGAATCATTGTTCGACTTGTTCTCAATCTGTTCTTCGACCTCTAAATCCACTTCACTTGCGACGTTGTGACAACAATCCAAAACATCATACATTGACAAGTCCTCATCTTCACAGTCACTAGTCTCACTACCGAACCGGAATATATAAACTGGTAAAGTACAGGTGTAGATACAATTACAAGACTAACAGCCACTAGCTTTGCATTTCCCAATAAAACTGGGAATACTTGAAACATTTATTGATAGATCTTCACCGCCTATTTGTGTGACAAAATTGACAGTAGAATAAAAGTACAGTAGAATAAAATTCAGTACAGTAGAATAAAATTCATGCACCAGCAATGAAAATTCAACAAAGTGACCTCTCTGTTTTTCATACGATATAAAAAAAGCTGATCTGATCTATTGAACAACTAAACGAATTAGTTAAGCAAACACTAAAACTCCTAAAACCACAAACTACCAAGTCTACCAAGTCTACCAAATAAAATATGAAACAAAAACAAATTCTGACTGGCAAATAAGAACATCTTGTTCGCAAGTAGCCTACGAATACAGACGTTTGCATGCAAGACATGCAAGTCCAGAAACTTGAGTTAAAAAAAACAAGATGAAAACGTGACACATGCTGTTGAACACATGCAAGATGTAATTATTTGCAAGACTTATTTGACCCTTATTTGCAATGATTTTTGTACAAACAAACATTCACTAGACCATGTTCAATCCAGTAAGTTAACACATTGATACTAGTTGAACTGTATGACAGTGTCACTGTGTATATACTGTATACGTTTAAATTGTCTTTATTGGACCTTATTGGTGGATTTTAAGCAAATTATGATATTTACTTTTCTGATATTAGTGCGTCTGCACCGTCAAATGTATCCTCCATTTCTGTATCTTCTCTGGATTCGTGGAAGGTAAATGCATCCAAGCTGCGTTGAGTTTTTAATTCTAAATCATGCTTTGTCTTGTTACTCAAACATTTAGTGAAGTGACCTGAAAATTGAAATAACATTGACAAACATCATTTCATGATGTAAATACTTTTTTCATTTTTACGTGCAAGTTATAAAACCGTAATTAAACGTGACAATGTGTTAAAATATTAAAGGTTGTAAAGGGGCCTTACAGGCATTTTTGTATGGCTATACCACCTTAAGTTAGGGGACTCCACCGGAAATTCTTCAGACAGTTCTTACATGTCTTACATGATGTAGACTATGTAGTAAGCAGAATAGTTAGGAACATCATGCAGTAACAATGATACGAAGCAAAAAGTGTTAACAATGCTGGTTAAGGTGGCAAAGCCATAAAGAAATTACTTAAAATTTCATCTAACTAAAAACTGTTGCCAGGGACTGCATGTATGGAACTTACTAATTAATTGGCCTTAATTGTCTTAATTAACTGGGTCTTAACTGACCATTCACTGCATGATGCAAAATTACACTGTACTGCCTGACATTTAATTAGCATGTATCCAATGAATGATACATTATTAATCAAAGCGATACAGGAGTCTAACTATGGTCAAGTACTTTATAACTTACTAGGTTTAAAATACTTTATTTTTCCTTGAATGCTCCTCTCTGTATTTCTACTTGAATAATTCTTGAGGCAAATTCCACACTTTGTCTCAATTTCACTCAAAGCAACACTACCACTCAATTTAAATAGCTCTAGATAGGAAATAAATATAAAATTAATAGACTTTACAGTATACAACATTGTACACTGCCGAATGTCACTATATAGAAGACCTATGACAAGCCATTACACTGATCAATATAAGACAGCAAGACATACAAATCTTCAACACACCATTACCTTCATTAAATTGCTGAAGTCCTTTCTCTTGTCTTTCATTTAGTCCGTGGGCTGTCATCCAAAAAAGAGGCGGAAAATCGAATTTCGTTGCCGCCATCACGGTGCTAAGGTAACTTTACACCATACAATAGAATTCGATGAGCTGAATTCAAATTTAGTTGTTCCCAACCACGAAAACCCGCAGTTTTTTTGCAATTCGTCTTTGAATTTCGCCTTTGATCTAGATCGAATTTTACATGACGTTTCAGGCTTGCGGGCTCATAAATCATTAAAATCATAAATATGGAGGATGAAAGCGTGGGTAGTTTTACTGCTTTATCCTCGTGTTTAATTCATTTTCGTGGCAAAACAGGAGATTTGTGTAAATTAACATGTCATACACTTGTGAAAATAAAAGAATATTGTGAAAAATGGATTAATTTGGATGGAGAACCAAAAGAAATTGCCGAGAAAATTATCGATGTCGTGCGATCATGGCCTGACAACGAGCCAGATGTTCTGCCTACAGAAGCTGCTGACTTTCGCTATCACAAAGAGTGCTACGTTAGGTTTTGTGACAAAAATAAAGTGGCTAGAAGTATGAAGAAAAAAGAGAAGGCCCCAGTGAGAGATGTAAAAGAGCAAAGCATGTCAAAAATTTGCTCGGAAAAACGTTGTTCTTCCAGAATAGCGTCATTTGTATGCGCTTCCGCTTCGACACAACCTTCGACTAGTACAAACACGGAAAGGCGAAGCATTCATGTCCTTCCCGTACAGTGCATCATATGTAAAAGAAAGGACGCCTATGTAATGGATAAGGTACAGGTATTCCATATTATGTGCATGTTTATAAAAGTATAAAACGGGTAAAGTTTAATACATCATTGGAGTATTTTAATTATAAAACTCTTTATACACAGAAAACCAGAAAAAGGAAGCTTGATAAGTTAGTCACAGCAGAAACAGTCGACGGTGGCTTGCTACGTGAAGCTGCTGAGAAGAAGAATGATGAATCAATCTTGACATATATTAGGGGTAAAGATTGTGTCGCCATCGAGGTCAAATATCACAAGATGTGTCATTTAAACTACTGCCGTTATTTAACCCGAACAGTATCCCAGAAACAGGAGAGTGACGAGCTTTACAAGCAAAGCTACGATGTTTTTTGTGCCAGAGTTATTGTGGCGAAAATAATCCAGCAGAAGAAGGTCAGTCGCATGACAAATTTGCATGAGAAATTTGTTAAAATAGTGCAAGATACTGAGGGTGTTGATGCTACAAACTATCGGAAATATCTTCTTAAAGCAAGGCTACGAAGAGACTATCCCCAGCTTATTTTTCATCAACCGTATAGAAAAAACCAAAGTGAACTTGTGTTTGTGCAAGAATTGTCTGTTGGGGAAGCATTTGAGAAATCTGGAGAAATTGCAACTAGTCAAAGTAGTCAGTCTGAGACTGATGAAGAAATGCATCTTAGTTCAAAAGCGGAACTACAAAAAGAAGTAACATTAAAGGAATTATACGATGTTGCTATTGCTCTGAGGACGAGTATGAGCGACATACGAAAAATGAAATTGCCATGGCCTCTCACAAGTGTAGACCTAACAGACGAAACAGCCCTCAAGATGATTCCTGTAAAGCTATTTAATTTTATTAGTTGGATTCTTGGTTTCTCTGATGTACCTGAAATGCAGACTTACATTAAACTGGAAGATGCACAAATGAAGAAAGTCTTAACATTATGCCAAGACATGTTGTTTGTTTATTCTAATGGTAGAATCCAAACTCCAAAGTCTTTAGCTTTGGGAATGACTGTTAGACAATTAACAAGATCCTCCCAGCTCACTGATGTTCTTAATGGATTTGGACATTGTGCGAGTGCTTATGCTGTTCTGACTCACGAGGCTGACTTAGCAAGGCTTTCCATGACAACTGAGTTGAATATTCCTAAGGATATTGCAAAAAACAAGTTTACTTGTCTTGTCTTTGACAACGATGATTTTTCAGAAGATTCAAGAAATCAAACTCATGTGCTTGGTGGAATTGCCATTCAGAGAGAATCCGAGGTTCCTGAAAGTGTCGTGCAACCCCCAATGAAAAAGAAGGGTCGAAGATCGTTACAGGCTCCACCTAGCATTATTTTGCCTTATCCTCTTGGTAAAAAGAAAACTCCAAGCTTTGCCATTCAGAATGAAAGACTCGACGAAGAATATTACATAGACGAACAGGCCTATGCAAGACTTTTGGATTTTGCATATATTCTAATGAAAGTTTATCAGTCACAAGTAGATGTCTTGCCAGGTTGGACAGGTTTCAACATGCTTGTACAGGGATTGGAAATACCACCAGTGTCCAAAATTCGCTACCTACCAATAGTTGATGGTTCCCCCAGTGATTACTCTACTCTATACACGGCTCTTGAACAAAGCATGAAGATTGCAGATGAATTATTGCTTGAAAAAATTGTGTTGGTTTTTGATGAGGCTATATATTCGAAAATCCAGCAGATAAGATGGAAAGATGAGAGATTCTTGTCACGATTCATTGTTCGACTTGGTGATTTTCATGCAACAATGTCATTTTTGAGTGCTATTGGAAAGCTATTTGGAGATGCAGGATTGCAGGTTAATATTTTCATATTTTGCATACAGTGTTTATAAACAGATTTCTTTTTGTAGTTTTGCATTGTGAACAAGTACATGTATTTGTTTTCTAATGTACTACCATATTGTCAGAAATGTTAGAATTAGAATTTAAATGTATGCCCCTATCATTTAGGGAACAAGTTATCTTAGTACATCTCACTTTTTTGTTAATTTATTGCTGTTTATTTTTATAACTAGGATGTGTTGGTGGAGTCTGATGTTATTGGGCAAGGTTCAGTGGTAGGAGGCTAGTAGCAATGAAAGGAAAGCACTACAACCGAAGTGTTTACTGTCACAAAGTTGCAAGTGAAGCTCTTCACCGGCTTCGTTTTGAGGCATTTCTAAATTGCCTTGGTGAACAGGAGTGTGAAGATATTAAAGTGGTAGCACAGGACCTTCTGACCGACTTTTCAAGTGGTATTCTCGAAAGAGAAATAACAGATGAAAATTTCATTGAATTAATGACAACTTATCAAACCTTTATTATGGTGGAATGTGAAAAAAATGCAACGTTTGCATTTTGGAGTTCCTATTTGGAAATGGTTGAGATTCTTCTGTGCTTTGTAAGGTAATATAAACTAGATAATGTATTTCTCAAGCTACAAATTAGGAAAGAGGGCTAAGTTGCCAATAGAGATTACTGTCCTCAATTGTTGGATTCAGGTTTAAAATAATAGGGCACCAGTACTACCAGGTGTTTTTTTTTCTGGGGGGGGGGTTGCTTACCCATACACATGCAATAAACTTTTGAAAAACATTGTGTGATGTTCCTTCCCAACAGCGTTGTGGAAAAGCAGTACCTTTTTAATTAATTGTATAATATTTAAACATCTGTAATTGGTGCTTTTTAGAGCTACAAGAGAAGGTAATTGGGACTTACACTTGTCAACAATGCGTTCTATGTTACCTTGGTTCTTCGCCTGTGATCGAGTAAACTATTCCAGATATGGTACTGCCTATTGGTTAGAAATGACAAAACTTAAAGAAACTGATCCAGGTAGCATTGCTAGCACTTCTTTCATAGCTGTACATTAATTTAGCTTTTAGTCATGAACCCTGGTTTGTTAACAGTTTGTTGCTGTTTTTAGGTGTAGTTGAAGAACTTAGTCAACAATGGACTGTCCAAAGACAAAACAATCATGCTTTTTCATCTGTTGCTTGTGACATGGCCATTGAGCAAACACTGAACAAGGACTCAAAAACATCTGGAGGTAAAATATTACAAGCATTCCTTTTTGTTCACTTCAAGTACCATTACTTTTTTCGAAGTCTATTAATTTGTGTAATGCTATGCTATAGCTGTAAGTTGATATAAAAACAACAAATTATTAGAAAAGACTCAACTGTTTTGTTTGCCCTTTTTGAAGGAATGGTTGGAATTTCTTTAAATCGTGGAGCAATACAGCGTTGGATCTTATCACAGTCAGAGAGATCAGCTATTTCTAGAGAATGCATGAAGATGGCAGGCGCTGACCCACTTGATAGGTACTGTTCTTCATCACTTGATGCATACTGTACAAGTTAAAAATGGCAGGGAATATTAAAGTGTAAAATATTACAACTGCACAATTTTTCTAGTATGTATCTCTTTAATTGCTTATAGAAATCGAAAAGATTTAGATGAAACTCAAAAGGTTAGTCATGAAAAAGATGTTCAAAGTATTAAGACAACACTAGAAAGTATGGTGAACCCATATGAGCCTGGTCGAGAAGAAATAGTGCATTTAACGAGCGGTCTGGTAGCCACAGAAGACGTCAGATCTGATCTCTTGATGGCGAAAGACGCAGGAGAAAAACGTTTGCAAACGTTTATCCAGGAAAAACTGCTTGTACCTGAACCTGATATTTTTTCGAATATCCCAATGCTTAAATTGAAAACATTCACATCATTAGTGAAGAAAGTGAAAGTTACTTCAAAGAATGGTACTGAAGCAACACTGAAGAGCAACCGAAACCTTTTTGCTCGCATGCTGTTACTTGCTCAAAGTATAAATATCGATATGAAAGAAGTCCTGTCATTTTCTCTTGGTCCTTTTCCTTTGTCCATTTCAACAGAGCAGGGCTCACTGCGTAAGACACCGAAAAGCAAGCTTTTGGAATTAATCGAGACGTCCACCAACAGTCAGAGTGTTGAAAGCATTCCAGAAGGTGGTGCATTAATCCTGGATGCAATGGCAACTGTTCAAGCAATTGCAAACCCCCCAACAACATTTTCGTGAACTAGCTGAACAGATATTTGACGGTATCATAAAGTTAGGTGTGTATCACAAATGTTTGAGGGTCGACTTTGTGATTGACACATATCCGGAAGTGAGTATAAAGGGTATTGAGCACTCACTACGAGCAAGTGATGGAGCAACTATCATCAAAATATATGGTCCAGAGCAAAAGATCCCAACACAGTGGAAAAAGTTCCTGAAACATGGACCAAACAAAGTATCCCTACTTCAATTCCTTTTTCAGAGTTGGTGCATGTATAGGTCTGCAAAGTTACGTGGACTAACATTATATGTCTGTGAGAATGATCAGTGCCACCATATATTAACAGCAGCTACCAATGATGCTTTTGTCATTGTCGAAAGAGTCCCCGAACTTGCTTGTGACCATGAGGAGGCTGACACAAGAATGCTGCTGCATGCATCACATGCAACGAGATACAACAATGTGCTGGTCCGCAGTCCAGATACTGATGTGTTTGTCTTGTTACTACATTTTTCTCTCACTATTCCAGCCAAGTTATATTTCCTAACAGGAGTGAAAGATCGTACCCGAATACTTGACATGGAGTATATTGCCCAGCAATTAGGAGCAGAAAAATGCAAAGCCTTAAAAGTAAGGTATCTTCCTGGAATATCCTATTGCATGATCCAACATCTGTGGCTACATTGACCTCCCTTGGAACTGAATTTTCCTTTGATGAGCAGTTTGAAAAGGAAATAGAAGCAACAGTATGCAAATTATACAAGGCAAAAAGTGAAACCAGTGTCAACGTTTTACGTTACAATATGTTCCGACTTGGCAAATTTTCTGATTCTTCTCTGCCACCAAACAAAGATTGCCTTCTTAAACATGTCCAAAGAGCCAATTACCAAGCAGCAGTTTGGAAGCGATCTACATGCTCCAGTATTGATGCTCCAAGCCCAGCTAATCACGGTTGCAAATGCAATTCACAAGGCAAAATAACAATTGTGTGGATGGATGGAAAATGTGCTCCAGATGCTTTGATTTCAAATTGTAATTGCAAGTGCAAAACAGGTTGCACAACCAAACGGTGCTCCTGTAAAAAAAGCATTAAACAGGTGTAATGATATGTGCCAGTGCACTGAATGCACAAACTGTGAGAATGAACTTGACCTTGACGACTTTCCTGAATGGTCAAGTGATGATGAAATCTTTTAACGTGTAAATTAATATAATTTAACGCCTCAAAAGTTAAATGAAACAATGTAAATACAGTATCTTATGTTTTTTTCAAAATTATAAAGTTACTTACACGATTGATCGGTGTCTTTAAAGGTTGTAAACGTGTATACGTTTACAACGACGCGAGATACTTCATGTTAAAACGCCGTAAGATAAAAGGTGCCGCCAAATCCAAACTGGCCGAAACGAAGTAACTTCAATGGTTGTTTACGAAAAAACTGCGGGTTTAGGCGAGTGGGAACAACAAAAATTAAACTCTGCACTTTATAATCTATAGAAAAACGTAAAGTTATTCTAGCACCGCGATGGCGGCAACGAAACGAATCAATTTCGAGGGACAGCCCACGGACTAATTCCTTTTGATATTGTTCTCATCCAAAAATAACTTTTTAACTAAGCTCCTATCCTCTCGTGCACTCTTTGATGATTTTCTTTTTTTGTCCGGCTTTCACAGTGTCAGCGTTTCTTTTTGGTCTTTTTGTACCCAAGTCACCTAAAGCAGGTCCACTTAATTGTTGATGGACTCTCGGCTCTCTGTGCAAGTCTAGGAATGACAATTCCAAACTTTCCTGTCCAATTTACACCCTCTTGAATAACATGAACTGAAATCACAGTCATCAATGTTATATGTCTATATATTATATGTTTTAAGGCCATACAATTGTCATTCTGGTATATGAAAATGAGAAAGTGCTGTTGCAAATGTAACATTTGTAGGCATGTTTACTCAATCACATATGCCAGAATGATCCAGGATAAGAATCATATATTATGAAAAATTGTATCCTGTAGATAGACCTTTATATATGACATATCTGCATTAATGAACTTAATGGAGAACATGTAGGTCACATTTGCATAATTTTATTACCATTTTCATACAGTCAAATGGTATAAACTACAAGCCTATAATATTATAGCTGGACTTGACTCCTGAAATTCCAAATAATTTCTCTTATTTCATTGCCAGATAACCATGGAAAAATAGCTATATTTAATCACCCCCAAGGGTCTTCCAAGACTTCCAACAGTTTCAAGATCGCTTAACCTCCCCCAACCCCCCTGGATTCTCCGATGTCCACAACCCCGTCAACCCCCATTGCTCGGGGAAATTATGTTTAAACAAGACGCCTGCTCAGGCGTTCACACTGGCCTGAAAATAACGAGATACGTGCTATGGTGCAAAAGGCAGGAATACAAATCTTAAACCGCAAGCAAATTTTATGGACTTTTTAAAAAAATAAAAGACCTTTTCGGGAGACGTAATGGAGATCGATGCACGTCCAAATCATGCCGACCTGCAGAATCGATTTCCGGTTTTTCCTAACAGCGCGTTGTTTTCATATGCGTTTCATGGGCCGCGCTAAAAATATAAATATTCTGTAAATACCGAAATAAAAGATGAAAATCTCAAGACACAAGCTTGAAAATAACACTATAAATAGTGTTTTCGATTCTGGTTCCAATAACATTATCACGAAAAACATGATATGTCCAAAGGGGCCGAAGTTATGTTCGGCAAAATGTATGGCTAGTTTACATTGTTAGTTGTATTATGAAATATGATACCATACTTGTATTAAAACTCGCGTCGAACTAATGTTATTGTAAATTAGTAGACTTGCCACAAGTCGACCTCGAACGAAATGCGTTTCTTCGAGGTCGACTTGACATGTGGCAAGTCTAGCAAATGAGAACCATACAAATGATACAATAATAGTTCTAGTTCTTGTTGGTATTTTGAACGCACGCTTTATCTTTAGTATAGCTACCACAAAGCTTTTCGCGCGGATTATATTTCGTGGAGTACTAAATATTATATTTTGTGGTTTTCGAGTCATTACACAAAGAAAGACACATTAATTCAACACGCAAGAAAGTCCAGAGTACGACACAACGTAAAATACATAGGAAACCGGCACAATTCTTTGAAAATTCAACGAAACTGTGTACTGATATAGTTTGATCACTCTGTGAAAACCGCCATTGCAGTTCGGAATTGTGCGCGTGCGTATACAAGTGTATAGGCTAATAAACGAAAAATGTACCACAAGCATGGCATGAGTCGGCTATTACGTACATATATACGAGCTTATTACTATGCTATATAAATCATGGGGCCGAGGGAATCGATGGCATTTTGGCTTAATCGTTGCACCCTGAGCCTGCGATGAGCTAACGCAAACTCGATTTCTCGACTACGAAAGAAACAGAAAAAGGGGGATTTAAGACACTTGGCCTTACAGGCCAGTGTAATAATCGAGTAAATAATTCATGAGACAAGGACGGGTTTTACATACCATTTAACTCGCTGTTGCTCTCTTCCACAATAAGGCACACTGCTTCCAACTTCCACTGACTATCGGAGACAAATAGCGAAGTTTTCAACGGCCTTTCCACCTCCAGAAGCTTTTGCTAAACGATACAATTTGAGCGCATAAGGACCAAGGCCAAACTTTTTCGCCTGCTCTTTTAGTCCAAGGAAATCTATTAGATGTTTCTTTAAAGATGTTACGTTTGACTCTTTCTCGAGATCAACAATTACCCGGCTTCGATGACGCTCAAATGCGCCTTCTTGATCCTTGCGATAAAAACTGACCAAGACTTTTATAACGCCATTCATTGCGTGACCTTGCGAAAACTTAATAACCTTCGTGGTTCAACGAGCACATTGTTTTGATTTACGATGTCATCACGATTGCTTACTTAATTAAAGTATAACATGACTGATTGTCTTAGACCGCTGATATATGTATTAAATGTATAACCCATTGAACTAAAAATAACTGGAACGCTACGTTCAGTAAACTGCGCATGCAAATTTTGAAGCCAAAATTTGACTCCCATGAAGCCAAATGAAGCCAGTTTTGACTCCCAGACACGCACTTCCACGCGTGTTTCTACTGCGCGATTTACTCGCGAGACAATGCAGGGGGCGCTCGAAGCATGCCGTTTTGAACGTTTTCATGGCAGGATGCAAATCGAAAGGGAAACGGGCCTTTTCAATTTAAAACGGGCCTTTTAAAGCCTGTGTACGACCTTGTAGAATTTAGCTTCAAATTTCCGCTTGAACGTAGCGTTCCAGTTATTTTTAGTTCAATGGTATAACCTTAGACAGTGGGCTCAAATTTAGCGCTCGGTTAATAATACTTTGCTAAATTTATGACATTTACGGTAGGTCTGGTAGGTTTAGCCAAATAAAAAATAATGAAAAATGCTTAAAGGTCCTAAAACTAATTAATTTATCAGTTAACAGTTATATTTTGTTTGTCAGTAAACAGTTAAAAAATGACTCATTTGTCAGTTAACAGTTGTGTTAAGGCATGTTTGTCAGTAGTCAGTAAACCCCATTCAGACCCTCCTGGAATGATGAAGAATGGCGTTTCCAGTTTCTTCATATCTCATCGCATTCTCAAGTTATCGCACTTTCTATATTTTGAGTTGTGACTTCATTAGTTGTGCTTGAGATAATTGCAATAACAAGAAAGTCCGATATTTTGGTGACCGTTTAATAAAATTCAATGAAACTTGGTACACTTAGTGGGTGCACCCGTATAAATATTTTTGACAGTTCATATGGTTGTCATAGCAACACACTAGTCCCCAGTCTCTTCTCTTTCTTTTCACAAATTTCTTTCTGTAGACCTCTTGCAGAGGATGTTTGCATTTTATGACGTTTTAAACTGATTACAATACCTACACGCATGATAGTAATAAGCGAAAATTGCAGAAATTGCTATTTATTTCCTTGGAAATGGATCATATAGAAATTGGAAGAGAAGGGACTGGGGACGAGTGTGTTGCCATAACAACCATTATAAACAAGCCAAATTGTTCACTTGGTTGCATCCACTAAATGTGCCAAGTTTCATAGAATTTTATTAAACGATCACCAAGAGATCAGACTTTCGTTTTATTGGCATTATCTCAAACACAACTAATGACAAAATATGGAGATAGCGTAGCCAGGTTTAGACATAATTAAAAACATAAACGTTCTCTGACTAAAATTTTTTATTTAAAACGAGCTTTCGACTACCTAATTGTAGTCTTCAACGGGTAAAGCGGAATGAATTATTATTAAATTACAAACTTTACCCGTTGAAGACTACAGTTAGGTAGTCGAAAGCTCGTTTTAAATAAAAAATTTTAGTCAGAGAACGTTTATGTTTTTAATTACAACTAATGACGTCACAACTCAAAATATCGAAAGTGCGATAACTTGGGAATGAGATGAGATACAAATAAACTATAAATGTCATTCTTCATCATTCCAGCCGTACTTGTTAGAAAAACAATAAAAAATGAGGTGAAAATTTCGTTGCATAGGCACTTTAACATGCGTTGAAATCAGATTTTGTTGCAAGTTACAGCAATTTTGTTGCTCGTGTAACTCCAGCTTTAGATGTCTCAGGAAGTTGTAATCTTTTTCAATCCACACAGCTTTCTTGGACTGAAGGATTCCAAATTTTCTCAGTGGATACCAGATTTCAAGGTTCTTGTATACCAAAAATAGTGCCGCCCGAAATTTCTATCCGTGCCGGGTTCAGTTTCTGCAACATGCAATTGTCCGATTAAAATTCTGGCACCAACTACAATTTGACCCTACTACCGAACACAAGAAATATTTTCCGTTTACCTCGTATTCGTCTTGCCGTAACACGGGACCAAAGAGAGTAAAGGAATACCGAATGGTTTTCCGTGTCGTATTGCGTGATCCATGCACGAGGGATGTCGCGAGACTTTTCGGAAAACGTAAAATACTCAAGCCGCAGGTGAGTGTATTTTTACGATTTCCGAAAGTCGAGCAACATCCCAAGTGCATGGATCACGCTATATCCTGCCAGGGCCGCCGAGAGCGTGGCGGGGGCCCGGGGCAAAAAAAATTTTATGGGCCCCAATTGCAAAAAAATTTTCCGGAAAAAAAATTTTCGGACAATAACTTCTTTTTAGGTAAAACTTTTTTCCGGACAAGTGCGTTATAATTGCTTTCGTGGGACTTTTCCGCAATTTTCCATGCCAAATTTCGGTACTTTGCCCCCAAAACACAAATATTTCGGCCCGAAAACAGAAATATTTCGCCCGAAAAAATGACTGGGGCCCAACATTAAATTTCTAGGGGCCCCCAGAGCCTCGGGGCACAGGGCAATTCCCCCTGCCCCCCCTGCCCCCCCCTCTCGGCGGCCCTGTATCCTGCTTGGAAAACTATTTGGTAATTGTTTTATAAAATAACTACAGTGAAACAATGGCATTTTGAGAATCCATTTTGAGAAGGCATTTTATTTCCTCGTGCAGGATAGCCTGATCCTGCACGGCTATTGACCAATCAAATTGCGTGTTTCACTGTAGTTTTTATATAAATGGGTTTACTCAAGGGAGACTATAGTTTCAAACTGATGGGGCCATCCATTCATACCTGGAAAAAAGTGGTCTCCCTTGTTTTTACACACTTTGAGGAACATTTGAATGAGGCAAATTCAAGATCCGAGGAACACTGATTGAACACTTTTTCCAGGTCTGCATTAGCCCGCGTGAAGGCCCAAGAGAAGAATAGCGGGCCTGCAAGCAAGGCCCGGTATCTTGTAAAACGCCCCTTTTCATAACACGCCCCATTCGCGCGTCAATTGTCAAAAAAGAACCAATGACAGCAACCCAAATAGTAACAAACAAACACGCATTAAAATGTTGCGGGGTTTTCTCTGCTTTAATAGTCAAAATAGAAACAATGTGTAAATGGCTGTGTTTTAACTCCAAAAAACCAAGCAACGCAGTCAGTAATTGCCAAATTTGCAAGTGCTTATTTTCAACTGAAATCGGAACAGGCAAATTAGGACGAATTTCAACAGAAAATCTCAAACTTCAAATCGTGAGGGAAGTCGTGCGACACATTAGCATTAATGTGTGCTTCGCTGTTGCCATTGTTATAAATAAATTGTCTCACTTATCAGATCGTGTGTGCAATTCTTGTTGGCGGCGGAAAGTACGAAATTTATTTCAGTTATTTCATTTGGTAAAGAACTCCACAAAAGAAGAGAGCGTTCAGAGTCCAGATCGTTTCGTTTCAAACGGCAATTATCGTCTTCTGTTTCGCTCTCTCAGCGAAGCCTTGCAAATCGCAAAGTCTTTCGAATAGGCGTACATGGGGGCCTATTATAGTTTCGCGGTTATGCGGTTTTAGCCATATTTTGAGGTCGGATTTCGGTTATATCCAGTTATTTTGTACGGTTTGCGGTTAACTGGAAATTGTGCGGAGACGGAAAATGTCGAAATTAGCCCTCCGGATTCGGTTATTGACCAAAATAAATCGCGGTTTTCGGATAGTTTTTAACACGCGCTTAGGAAATATTTTACAAGCTCATGGCAATAATTCAGTTCATGGCATTCATCTTCCGATCGCGCGCGTGTGCCGTTCCACTGTAGGGCCTCGAAACAGACGAAATCAAATGGGCAAAGTGGCCGGGCTATTAGTAAAATCAGGAACACGGAACACCGGAACAGCATCATTCCGGAATACGGAACACCAAAAAAAATTCGAGGAAAAAAATTACCGGGGGTTGTGAAATTCAGTTGCAAGAAAAATTATTCCGTAAAAGTAAAACATGCCTTTAAAATAGTCTGACTTGCTGATTGCTACTAATTACGATCTGAAATCAGTCTCAAAGTAATAAATATTTCCCCAGAGAGATGAAATCATTATTATTACCTAAGCAACTTGATTGCATGTTTCTCGCACACGAAACATAAGCAGTGATGGAAGGAAAACCTTTTATAGCTATTTGAACTGCTAAGACTTCGTACTTATACTACCAAATTCGCGTGAAACCTGTGAACGGCTCCCTCTTCAATACTCCAATAGAAATGGCGACTACGTACTGACTATTGGACCAGGTCTATTGCCTCACATTATGTTGCGCAGTGGCGTGCTGGCAGGGGGGGGGGGAGCTGGCAATTCTTGGGGGGCGCAAAAATGTAAAGGGGGTGCCAATCCCGCGCCGAATTTTGAAAGTGGGTGGGAAGAAACGCATTCGAAAAAATATAGTTACTTTTTTTGTCTAACCGTATTTTGTCTAACCGTATTTGCTAATTTGCTACCTCACGGCTCACACGAAATCGTTCATATAGAAACATGACATGATCAGTGATCACATGCAATGTCTCATTACCGGAATATTGCCAGGTTTCGAAGCGATCACGGGAATTATGCCCTTTTTTGCTGGTATTATACCCTTATATTATGCCCTTTATTATGCTTCACGAATCAATTAGTTGAAGTTATGATAATGTAAAGTTATGTACGCAATTTGGTTGTTTGCGCAAGAAACATCATGAGTAATGTAAGTAATGAAATAATGATGAAACGGGCCCTTTTGGCAGCCAGGCAAGGAAACCTTAAAATGCATATGCGTGGGTTCTGTGTGTTATTGTATAAAAGAGCTGTAATTTGTCAATGTATTCAGATCAGTAGAGAATAGAATTGGGATTAGATTAATTGCTGGAGGTAGTTAGCATATTGCCCAATTTAAGTACTACTACTAAACTCTAACCAAATTGCGAATTTCGACACGTTATAATGCCGTTTCCTAACCATTAGATTTCCGTCAAATCTTCCCCCAAAGTCCAGGAAATGGCATTTCAGAGACTCCAAATTCAAACCTTTTCCTGGCGGGCATGTCCCCGGACACCCCTAGACAAACCTCACACCTGCAGTGCTCGGTTCGTGCCTTCGGCCCTCGTTTACCAAGCGTCACATTATAGGGCGTATATTGGTTGCCAGCCGACTGCCCCCCCCCCCCCGCAGAAAACTGATAGTACCCAGCACGCCACTGTGTTGCGGAATATACTATTTTGCGAAATATGTTACCACATATGCCTCGGTTTGAACGCGGTTACGTTTAAAAGAGAAATGAGTGCGCGGTTTGCGGTTAAAATTTGAAAAACAGCGCGGTTTTCGGAGATGCGTACCCCCTATAATAGGCCCCCTACATGCAACTGCCTTTAAATCTTCACCGCGGAAGCGCTGTTTTCTTCAGTGCAAGAACAGTCAACATCAACCAAAAGGTAATTTTCTCGAGGAACATATAACGCGTATCAAGTCTGTTTGAAATTATTAATGAAACTCAAGTAAAGGTTACTATAGTTTACCCCAGTCGTAATGTTGCTATTCCAACACTTCACGACAAGCAATCCCCATTGGCATAACGGCAAAAACATCTCTTCCTTCAAGTAAACAATAAACAGTCTGTTCTTGTTCCATTTTTAATCGAAAAAAGTGATCAATTTTCGAATTTTAAGCTTATCGAGAGCCTTTGTGGCGAATCACTGATCTAATTATAGAATCCAACAGCAAACAGCCAATCAGAATGCCGCGTTTGTGGGCGAACGCGGAAAGTACAAAATACCGGACCTTGCTTGCAGGCTCACTATTCTTCCCTTGGGCCTGCACGCGAGCTAGGTCTGCATTTTAAAAATAATTTATTTGTATAAATTAAGCATACACGGAAAAGTATTGATTATGTTATTTTAATAGTATTTTTTTGTTTCAGGTTATACCAACGTCTACTCCTGAGCGCCAAAAATGGAGCTTAAGAATGCAGGTTTTAGCTTTGTTGGGTCTGGGTGAAATTACACATGAACCTTGCGAAGCTTTTCAAGTTAAAACTCAAGAAATGTTAAAGTAGATGAATATTAGAAAACTGTAGTTTATAATATGTAGAGAATATTATTTTAATATTTATGAAAAGTGTCATCCTCGAGATAACGGCGTCCGGGGCGAGGTTACTTATGCATTAGCGAAATTTAAAGTTCATCAATAATAATCGCGGGCGCATGGCTATGGTTCAAGATTGAAGTTTAAGAGAGGATGTCCACAAAAATCAAACATAAAGCGGCCACGACTGAAAAATCGATTTTGCTCAAATTTTGCCCAGAAATACCTTATTATATCGGAAAATGCACCATATATTTTTTTAGGTCAAATGCTTTTTTAACTTTGAGAAAATGCCGTTTTAACACGACCACCCTAAATCGCCATTTTTTCTGGGAAAATATGTGCTGATTTTACAGATAAATTTCACGACGACAACCGTTTCTAATCGATCTAAAACCCTAAAAATATTGTTTTCGGTTATTCAAAGGACGGTATACATGACTTACAGGAAATCTGAGTTACTTTTAGGAATAGATATAATCGTAGTTTTGGAGCACACTATCTTACTTCATTTACGATACCCTCTTAACAAAATCGATTTTCACCATGCGATAAAGCTCCAAATCGATCATGCTTCTACTAGTTGGCTCTTTAATAAACAAGCTTTCAATTGACGTAAATACTTCTTTGGGCAAATGAATACGCGATAAACGACAGCGTGTTGAAATCTTCCGTTTTTGACGTCTTGCAAGTCAAACGCTGTTAATTTATACACCGTCGAAGTAAACAATTTAATCAAGTATTCTAAGTATTTTACCTTTTGAGAAAAAACATATTCTTGAATGGGGACTTTTCGCTTTGCTAAGTTTAATAGTGGTCCAGAAATCCCGGGATATTTGTAAAAAAATCATCAAACATCCAGTATTTTGAGACATTGTTGACGGTTGCATGATAACTTCAGATCATTATTCAACGTGAATAACCCGGCCGTTTGACTTTAGCGCTAACATATACAAATCGATGAGCTATTTAAGGATTATATTTGCTACTAAATTCCCCAAAAGAATTGGAACTACAACAGCTGTTTTCAGAGGTTTTGATCCATTTTGTCCATATTAATGTACCATTTTATTTATCGACTGATGTTTTATACAAATACGTAAGCAACCTCGTTCCCAGGGTCTCTCCGTCTGTCATCTGGGAGAGACCCTGGCTGCGGCTGGTCACGTGCCTCCCAGATTCTGGGAGGTAAATTTAATTGTAACTGTGAGAGGGGTGGGAAAGGAGAGTGTTTGTAGCGTTTTAAAATTGCAACTTTGGGTGATGAAATTTACTGTAAATTTGCAACAAGAAATCGTAATTATAAAGAGAACTCTTGAATTAATATTTATGTCGTGACGTTCTACTCTATAATCTGGTGTCGAGTTACAATTCAAGCAAGTTGGATCAGATTTCATTATAGACTTGCCAAAGAAAGCACGCTTGCCGCTTGTGCAGCGTGGCAATATTAAACTGTGATTATTAAACCTACAAGAAAATATATATCTCTAGACCGAACAGTGTGGTTGTTATTTATTTAGTATTAAAGTTTATCCTGATACTCGGACCAAAAGAATTTATTTATTGATGAGATGTGGAATAGCAACGAAATAGCGAGATCTTTTGATTTCCGAAATATCGCCAACTGTATCCAGATTGTTGATCTATATAAAGACCTTATCAAAAA